GTTTTACTATGTTATGTTTGTTTGATAGTTTACAATATGTGCACCTTTCAATTAAAAATAAATTTGATAAGAATAGGTAGTAATAGTTTTACTATGTTCATGTTGTTTGACAGTTTACAATATGTGCACCTTTCAATTAGGAATAATTGTATAAGGAAAGGTAGCAATAGTTTCACCATGTTCATGTTTGCAGTTTACATTATGTGCACTTTTCAATTAGAAGTAATTTGATAAGGTAAGGTAGCAATAGTTTTACTATGTTCATGTTGTTTGACAGTTTACAATATGTGCACCTTTCAATTATAAATAAATTTGATAAGAAAAGGTAGTAATAGTTTTACTATGTTCATGTTTGTTTGATAGTTTACAATATGTGCACCTTTCAATTAAAAATAAATTTGATAAGAAAAGGTAGTAATAGTTTTACTATGTTCATGTTGTTTGACAGTTTACAATATGTGCACCTTTCAATTAGGAATAATTGTATAAGGAAAGGTAGTAATAGTTTCACTATGTTCATGTTTGTTTGACAGTTTACAATATGTGCACCTTTCAATTATAAATAAATTTGATAAGGAAAGTTAGGAATAGTTTTACTATGTTTATGTTTGTTTGACAGTTTACAATATGTGCACCTTTCAATTAAAAATAAATTTGATAAGGTAAGGTAGCAATAAGTTTCACTATGTTTTTGTTTTGAGTACTTTGGGAAACTTTTACGATTTTGAAGAGAACACTATGCCTTATGCGTATTGGCTTTATTACGTCAATTACAATGATGTAAATTAGTAGATGATAGAAATCCATTATTAACTGTACAGTGTGCATAATAAGATACTGAACTGTAACCGTGGACCACCTGTCCCTAACACAATGCGAAGTACACAAAATGTAAAACCATTGTTGTGACTATGAATGCCCCTAGTAAAGCAGACTTGTAGACAGTGATATGGTATTATGAAGAAGGCTTTCATGCATCTAATGGGGGGGGGGGGGGATTCTGATGCTACAGTAGAGATTAGCTTTGTTAGCTGCTTCATGAGTGCACTTATTATGGCTCACAGCAAACTGAATGTACAGTAGGTTTGAACTACATGTTTGGAGGCAACCCTCTCGGGATGGTCTTAACAATAACAAAGCAACTGGCTTCCGTAATGTTGGCAATGTATTCACTTTGGACTTTACAATGCTGTAGACTTACAACAACTAGAACAATGCAACGTATTGCAAATAACTTCTTTTACTTTGCTGGTAAACCTTAATTCAAAATACAATTTGAGATAGATAGTATGATAGATTCATAGTTTGTGATAGTATAGAAGAAATAACCCTGTAGTCTATCTTTCTTAGTCAATGATTGATTCAAATCATTGACAAAAAACATATTTGCTATAAGTGCAAGTTAACACATTTCCTACTGACGCTATTTTCAACAAATTCATTTTGATCATCCATGGAGGCCTTCTGCAGGTTATGTGTTAACAAGTTAGTATCAGTGTTCCCAGCAAAACAAAATTGTATGGCTCTCATTCACACTATTTGAGATGTTCTTCTAAGACCACAAATACAGTATATTGGAAAAAGATCAGGTTGTAGTTACAATTAAAATACCGTAGTTGTCACTTTGAGTCCTAATACAGTACATGTACATGTAAAATATATTCTTTACTGTAAAATACTTTATTTTCACTTGAAAATAATTTTTGCTATTTTCGCTGAGGTAATGATTCAGTGAAAATAAAATCCAGCGAATATATCTTTTTTCCTATATTTTACATTCAACTCACCAAAAATCAGTGAAAACAAATTCCATACAAAACACCCAAAAGGTTTTTTCATCGAAAAATAATTCCAGCTAAAATAAAGTATTTCACAGTATATAAAATGTGAACACATGCCGATGTTTGCAATGTTTTTGGTGTTTTAATTATGTGACCATTCAATATCTCTTAGGACATCATGGAGTGCAACAGTCCAAGTACCCTGAAAGGCGCTCTTAATGAACTGAAATCCATATTGCTCACCCCAATCAAAGCATACAGCCAACAACAAAATGATAACAAGGAGGTTATTGATACTGCCAATTCTACTAGTCAAAGCTTGACTACTATTACTGTGACAAGTACCGCTGCTGACCGTACAACGCAGGGTGGTAGTGGTACTGATAACTCACAGTCCTCTTCACTGCCAAACGACATAGAGCAAAGTTCAGTACCAGTAATAGAAGGTGATCTTCCAGGACAGTTTACTCGGGTCATGGGTAAAGGTGAGAGTTGTCACTTTTGAATTTAATACTCCTCTTGACTTTTATTTATAGTTTTACAAAAATTGGTGACCCTTCAATAAGCTATCTAAAAAACCTGTATAAATTTGTCTTGTCATATTCTTGGGTGGGCGGAGCTAGGTTACTATGTTGCTTGAACATACACCACTGTTCAATGTATTTCTATTTGCTGGGCACGAGCTGCTGTGGAATTCAGTCAAAAAAACATCACGAATTCAACTTTGAGGTTAATCCTGAACAACCAAATTTATGTATGTTGCACATGTATGGGTAGTCATGTTACACTGTTCAGGAGAATCTCAAAAACTAGCCCAAAGTACAGTTTCCTGAAAGTTTTTGGCCTTTGTTTTCAACGGTGATGGTTGCCAGGCGGTGAAAATGGCCAGAGTTCCACCCCCAAGAATATGTAGTAATGTCTCGTCTTGTAACACTGAGAAACCACTGAGAATTTTCCATATCATGCCCCGCCCTGCTTGACCTTATTTGGCCAAACAAGTTTCATTTTAGTATTCAAGAGATTATTAATATGCATTCTAGTTCTAGTTGCAAGAGTAGCAATCAAAGGGTAGAACTTTCTAACGTCTTGTGTTTCAAACCCAGAGAATTCAATACTTTTGAATAAATGGCAGAATTACCGGTAAGATTATTAATTGAAATAATTGAAACACAAGTCGCTCGAAAATATAAGGTATATGATAACACCATTGTGGACTGGATATGGCTTTTCTTAAGGCTCAGTCATATATGCAAAAGCACCCTCACAAGCATGAGTGCTTTCAGCATATGGTTAGTGATAAATAAATATTCCCACTATACTTTCATTTAAGTTTGTCATCAGCAGCCACAAATCATGACTGCCAGAGTTTAAGTCACAGGCTTAGGAGTACCAGCTCTGGATCGATCCTACTCCGGCGATTCGTTGATTGAAATTAGTTCAGAAATTAATCACACAAGCTGTCAACATAGGACCATGTTTTCTGATGTACTGCTGCTATTTAAACGTATAGAAACATATAAGCACATGTGTCACATTGCACAATATGTATGTGTATAATAAAATGATATAAACTGTTATCATTACAAGGCACTGTACTTTATGGGCAGATTGTCCAAATGGTTTGTGCAAACCGGAGTCAACAAAAATAAACTGAGAACATACAGAGGATTCAGAAAGATATTCAGAGTGAAAAAATACCTGGTTAAGAATATCAAAATGAGAGAACAATTCAGTAAATTCAGACTCGGCAATCACTTTTTCAAAATCGAAATGGGCAGACATACAAAATCTAAAACTCCAATTGACAAAAGTATGTGTGACTTGTGTACTGTTATGTAAATTGAAGATGAGACACACTTCAAAATATCATGTAAAAAATATAAACAGCAAAGAAATTTACTTTGTGACAATGCAGAAAAAGTAATTCAAAATTTTGCTGTTTTGATGGAAACCAATAAATTCTCTGCAATCATGAGTTTAGATGTAACATTTATAAATATTGTTTTAGCAAAGTACATAAAAAAATGTTTATGTATAAAACAGTAACTTCCAGACCAAACACAACAAGCCTAGTATATATAAAATTTAAAAAAAAAATTAAATTGATCTAAATGTTATTTTCTCCTAAAATAGTCATGTTTTTTGTGTTTTTTTTTTCATTTTTAAAAAACATACTGCTGTATCTTTCTGCGTCTGTTGTGATAATAAAATATTACAGATCATGTGAGGTGGCTAAGTGGTCAACAAATCATAAATTGACATTGGCTGTTTGATTAATGTGTGACTACTTTGTAGAATGAAGGATGGCGTCATCTTGTTTGGATTTAAATGAAGCTGATTTCAAATGAAAACAGTTTGGTTTATGAATATTTATCAACGTATAAAGATTAGTTTGTGACAATAGTACAATACATGCAACATAGTTACTAGATGAGATGTACCTTCCATTTTGATACTAAGAAATGTATGCAGAAAAAAAAGTTGTTATTGTTTCTGAGAATTTGCTCTGATTACCCCTGAATATATACAACATGTCATCCCAGGAAAACAGGATGCATCTATTTATAAATTGATGACCGTGTATGTGTAGTTAGGTGAATACCGTGCAACAAACCAGTATTTAGCAGTAGAAATATCTTGAAAACATGCTTTTGTACAGCAGTGTATGGACATGACAAAGAAACTATACTCCTGATAACACACCTTAAATAGAAGTCACGTAACTTCACTCTTTTTAAAGAATTACTTGTATTTAGGACAATGTGTAAAACAAATAAAATTGGGAGGGGTAATGTTAGTTTTACCCACATCTAGAACCTGTTCGGTTAATACAGTTACTTGTATTTAAGGTCCTTGTAGGCATATTGTTTAGTTCCGATTTTCTTCGTCTACAGTTTTTTTTTGGTCTATAACTATACTATCATTACATGTAAACTTTTGAATTTATTGTTTAGTTCAGATTTTTCTTGTCTACAGTTTTTTGTTGGTCTATAACTATACTATCATTACATGTAAACTTTTGAATTTATTGTTTAGTTCAGATTTTTCTTCGTCTACAGTTTTTTGTTGGTCTATAACTATCTATACTATCATTACATGTAAACTTTTGAATTTATTGTTTAGTTCTGATTTTTCTTTGTCTACAGTTTTTTGTTGGTCTATAACTATACTATCGTTACATGTAAACTTTTGAAAATTCAATTCTCAA